TTTACTTCTAAAATGTGCTTATCTCACACATTACAAGGTGTGTGATGTTCAGACAGCAATAATTATAGAAAAGAAAATGGCAGAAATGACTTGCAAGTCTGCGATGTGATAAAAATAAAGCTGTAATCTTGATTATCTGCTAATTTAGATCTACTGTTTGGCTGGTTTGGACATGAGTAATACAACAAGATTTATCAATGAGAGACAGATGGTGGCTGCACGATGCTTTAATAAATGTATTACAATTATTATGCTGCTTACTCTTCCAGTCTGTTATAATGAGATAGTAAAAATGATATGATTAATAAATCATGGCAGCATATGTTTTTCCATTAACTCGTCAAAATAACTTAACCCATTTTTTTTTAAAGTTATACAAGATTCAGCTAGACATAATTTTTTAAAACGTGTTGAAATGACTTGTACAGCCAATTTGATTTTACTTCAGATTTAAGGCAGCAACTGAACTTTTTAAGTTGAATTAGGTGATGTTTGACAGATCAAATATGCATGTACATGTATTTCTAGTTTATATTCTGTAGCAGCTTGATAGAACTATTTATAAGTTCAATCAATAATCAACAGAGAAACCACAAGAACCATAAAGGATTCATATATGTATCATTGTTGTGCATGATTTTAAAGCATCTGTGAGAGGATTTACATTCATGCATTTGGCAGATGCTTATATCCAAAGCAATTTTCTTTGCATTTAAGCTGTATGTTATATCAGTTCATGCATTCCCTGGGAATCAAACCGTGACCTTGCTGTGGCTTTATTCTGCTGTTTGAGCTCCAGAGAGGACGCTGTACACACACACCGTAATGCAGGATTCACTGTACTGCACTGCAGGCACAAACACAAGCAGAGACTTTAAGTATCTCAGACGTGATGATTGTCCTCTATTGACAAATACAAAGAGAGGATTAAGTCGTGTCTCTGAAAAACCTCACACAATTACTGCAGAAATGCTGAGCGCTCGTCCCGAAACTGGATGGGTGAAGAGGTGTGTGTTCTGTTAAGAGGCCCAGACTGCGCTGTGTGTAACACTACTGTTGACAGAAATTAATAAAACACTCAAATCTATGAGAAACATCTTAAACAGACAGCATCTTCCTTATCTTTGCATCCTTTCACACACACACACACACACACACACACACACACACACATATATAAACCATTTTATGGGCTAGAAATGGTTCTTTATGACTGCAATCTTAAAATGATTTTTAAAAGTCTGGATGCAATAATCATGAACAACTGTAAAAGAATGCCATGGAAATCATTTCTCAAACAGAAAGAATATGCTGCTTTATGGGAGTTATTTTTGAGTGAAATATATATTTGATATGTGATATTGTTGGGACAAATGTTACACAGTACAAAGCCAAAAACAAATGAGAAAGATTGCATCTTACTTATATATTTCATATGGAGTACAAAAAGCTCCTGTGGTTCAGTGCATCCGTCTGTCATCACAGAAAGCTGAACATCAGCATGACAATGAGTGTTATCTCAATGATAATGGATTATATTACCTGAGGGCAACACAAATGGGCCTCAAATTGAGACTTGCGGGACACGCAGAGGATTTTATGCTCTCCTGAACATGCACTCCAAAGTGAAATGCTTCCCAGGCAAGAATAAAACCTGAATAAGAAAAAAAAATCAGCCTTTATGAAGAATTTGACTTATCCGAGTCTTACAAATAGAATAGTTTACCCAAAAATACAAATTTGCTGAAAATGTGCTCACTCTCAGGTCATCCGAGATTAGGATGAGTGTGTTTCTTCATCAGATTTGGAGAAATGTAGCATTGCATCAGTGTCTCACTGCAAGTGAATGGGTGCCGTCAGAATGAGAGTCCAAACAGCTGATAAAAACATCACAATAATCCACAAGTAATCCACAGCACTCCAGTCCATCAGTTAACACCTGGAGAAGACAAAAGCTGAAACAAATCCAGCATTAAGACGTTTTTAACTAAAATACGAGTCCATAATCCATAATAACGCTTCCTGCAGTGAATGCTGCAGGATAATAACGCTTAATCCATAATAACGCTTCCTGCTATTTAATCAAATTAAATATGCACTCATTTGCATACATTTCCAGAACAAAAATCTGAATGTTGGATAAAGCCATGTTCGAAATTCTTGGTTAATTTTGCCGACATATTAAAGTTAAAGATTTTGGATCTCTCTTTTTATTACTCCATAAATCAGAAAATACTGTCATACTGACAGAAATGCATGCATTTTCACCACGTTTTTAGGAATAAAATGTTAATCAGGTGAATTATGTTCAGAATATAGATAGGAATAAAAACGGTAAACTACTTTCCTATTTTTTAGTTTAAAAGAAGTATACTAATAGCACACTCCTCTCTATCGTAAGGATAGCCATTGTTTCAGCAAACTCACAAGCCACTGTACTTATAACATGACCCATTTTTCATATCTCCTCTGTACTTTGACAGATTTCCAAGTGAAATACTGGAATGTGACGCACACTTTTCACATTCTGCGTGGATAAAATCGTTCCCCATACATTTTTGTAAAGAGGTAGTTGGTACAATATCATAAGAGATCAGTTTTTTCTTGATCTTTTGAGATATAAGAATTCATCGTACTATGAAAACATGAAAACATGCATCATATTTATTATATTAAACTAAATTGTGACTGGTGCAGAAACTTTTCTGGCATTATAAGTGGACCTTAGGGGGAAAATACATAACACAACTAATGAGAGTATAATATGACCCTTTTAAATGCTACATCATACACTAAAAAATTATTTTTGGAAATTGTAATTAAAATAAAAAATAGAGAAATAAAACAGGAAAATACTACTTCTAGTCTTTCTACTTAAAAACGTCACGATTCATGAATTATTAAATCAGGAAGGAAAATTTGCTTAATGTTTTAAATAAATATATAGAGTATATTCGATGTATTTTTAATAAATAACGAAATTGTATTATAAGATCATATAATTTAATTAATAAAGAAAATATATAATAATATAATATAATTAAATAAATAAAATAAACATTAAGCCCCCCCCATAAATAAATAAATAAATAACAAATACAGGAATTTTGATGTTATAGGAAAAAGCTTAATGTTTATTATTATATTATTATTTTTATATACAGAATATTTATTTTATTTGTATTTCGTTGTTTTTAAAATATAAAATAAAGCATGCATCAGAGGGTTAATTCAATTTGTTGCTTGCTATTTCTTTGCAATTATTTGTGAAATTTACATGCAATTTCTGAATGAAAATTAAGTAAATTCTGCACCTTTTTTTCAGTGCATAAGTCTGTCAATCATTTTAAAATAGATTCATTACCTGAACTGAACTAGAAAATAAACGACATGAAATCTACAAGGTCAGTCAACGTCCTTGCCTTTCAGAGAGCTCAGCAGCAAGAAGACAATGACATGAAAGGATGTTTTTCTGAGCAGAGAGCGAGGGTTATTAGCAGTCCTTCAGTGTGACGAGAGGTCAGCTGCTTTCTCAGTCTTTTATCAAGTTAATGCACTTTGAACCCAAAGGCAGGAGCCAGAGGCCTTCAGCGTTCCCCGTCTGTCATTTAAAGGGCAGGCAGAATGAATAAGCCCTAACTGAGCAGATATACTTCATTTCACATGCGAACACACTCTAATGCACAAAACAGCCTTCGATGAACAGGAGGAAGATGCTGACAGTGAATCAGCAGATACGTCTCTGTAGGGTTTTCTATTTTAAGAACAAAGATGACTTGATATTTCTTTTGCTTTGAGGCAATGCAACACATTCATTTTGAACAGATTTAGTGCAACAAAAGAACAAAAATAGACATACTATATTAAAGCGATTCATTATTTCAGCTCCATCGCAGCAGGCTTGGCATCACATGCTTATAATTTGCATATGCCCTTTGTAATTGAAAATAACTCGATGCATTCCACTTTCAACAGTTTTTTGTATCACGGTAGTACAAATACGTTTATAGAATTAGTTTTTATTTTTACATTTGATTTTCTAATTTGATTTTCTTTTGTAAGTTTTGTGGTGTTTTTTTGTTGTTGTGAGAAACTATCATTTTTATTAATAGCTTGAATGTTTTTGTTTTTATATTGTCCATTTTCATTATAATTTTTGTAAACGTTTTAGTAATTTTGTTGTGCATTTTTGTTATTTTTATTTCTTTATTTATTTATTTATTCAATTTTAGTATTAGTTATTTTACTACATCGAGTTAAACTAAATGAAAATGCAAGATGTTTCCTTGGAAACTAGATGTTTTTATTAATTTGATTTCATTTTAGTTAACATTTATTTAAGTAACAAACTTAAACTGGTTTTAGTGTTAATTGACTAATAACCCTGCAGTACTATTCCATATACCATAGTAAATTAATATCCAAAATGATGGCAAATTATAAACTAATGTAATGATTTCTATCTATATTAATTTAAAAATATCATGTTTTACTTGAGGCCTTTATGCATAATGCATTATAAGGCATTCATAATGTACATTGTAATGCATTATATATTTTCATCAATAATTATAACCAAAGTTATATTTAGAGATTCCTTTGGTTGGTTTTGTCATGTGTTTTAATGCACTGTATTTTCTGTGTAACAATGAATAGATAAGTATTATAAAATATTATATTGTATGCATTAAAAATACAGATTATAATGCATTATATATAAAATTATAGTGCATTATATATAAAAGCTTCAAGTAAAGTGTTATCAGTGAAATTGACTGTTTTTCATGTGTTTCATGTGTTTAACTTTCTAAAGGTGTAACAATTAATAGATTTTTATTATAATATATTATAACTGTGTTTTTCATGAGATCATACAATGCATTATAAGGTGCACTGCAAGGCATAATTGACACAGTAAAATACTTTTTGTAATGCATTATATGTAAAGGCTTCAAGTAAAGTGTTACCTAATTGTTTTTCACATTTGTGTGTTTTGAAAGGTCTCTGCTGTAGTATCGGACAATGTTTCGCAAAAAGAAGAAGAAGAGGCCGGAGATTTCAGCACCGAAGAACTTCGAGCATCGCGTTCATACGTCGTTCGATGCAAAGCGAGGAGTCTTCGTCGGTCTTCCCACACAATGGCAGAGTTTAATAGAAAACCTCCGGAGACCCAAACCCATGGTAGACCCATCCAGGATCACGCCAGTGGAGCTCAAACCAAAGAAGGTCAGAATTACATGGAATAAATGCTAAGAAGTGTCCCACAATAGCACGATAGACCTTTTCAGTTCACTTTGACTCACTGTAAAAAAAATTCCGTAAAATTTACGGTAAAAAAAACGGCAGCTGTGGTTGCCGGAATTTTACTGTAAAAAATACGGTAGCAACATTTTAGGTTTTACGGTTTTAACTTACATTTACGGTTAAATACCATAATTTCATTAACTGAAATAATGTTAATATACCAACCTATTGAAGTACTGAAATCTGTTTTGTACCTTTGTAATACACTGATAACCACCAAATGCAGATGGTGTAGCATTTTTACAGTCGTTTACCGTTAAATTCACAGTCATTTTGGAAACTGCATAGCAACAGCCTGGAAAACACTAAGCGTACTTTTATTTTCCCCAAATATTTTTGTGTGAATTTTGAGTAAATATTGCATACATGTTGGATTTTAGCAGCTGTGGCCACTTTGTTTATGTTTTAATGTAGATTCAAGAAAAAACTATACACCGGAGGCCGAATGTGAATCAATGAATCATTTTGACTCACAGTATGTTAATGCAGAAGCTTTATTTCTACACAATAAAAAAGGAATTGTTGAGAAAACATAAATGAAAACTGCTTCAAGAAGCTTCAAAACCTCTCATTTAGGCAATAAAATTAAAATAAACTCTATTTGCATTCTTAATTCATGTTACTTTAAGGTCACATGATTCATGAACTACTTCAAATTGCTTCTCAGGATGTAAAGTTTTATTGTAACAACAATTTTATTGAACAATTTGTAAATATAACTAGGCAACAACAATACGTCTTTGCATTGCAAGAGTAGGATCAGGTGCATAAAAGAAAAAAAAGATAAAATAAATAAAATTAAAGGGTGAAAGCTTTTTTTGTAAATTATATTCTTCTATTATAGCAGAAAAGTTTTATTTTTCACCAACTAAAGGGCTGAAATAATATTTTCTTGTAAAACATACTTCAATAATGTTTTATTTATACTTCACAGCGTAGCTGCAAATAATTTACATTTCTTAGTATTTGTAACACAAAAGTTCCTGTAAACTTAAAAATATGTTGCTTTTTTATTTTTACGTTTTTTATTTAATGCTCTTCACTTTTTGCAGAATATATTGTGCACTGATTAATTATTCACAATAAGAACTAAAATATCTGCAATTTAAAGTCGAATGGAAATGAGAATAAATATTAAATAAATAAATTTTAAAAAATGTTAACGTTCTTAATTCATGTCACTGTAAGGTCACATGATACATTAACTACTTCAAATTGCTTCTCGAATTGCTTTTGTAAGAACAGTTTTATTGAACAATTTGTAGAAAACGTAGAAGTGTAAGTTCAGGTGAAAAAAATTTAATTAAAGGACTAGGACTTTTATTGTAAACTATATTCTTGTATTATAGCAAAAAGTTTTCATGCATTTTTATTTTTCACCATGCAGCTTAAGGGCTGAATTTCTTGAAAAACGTACTTATATTAATAAATATCTGTGTCACAAAAGTTCCTGTAAACTGAAAAATATGTTGCTTTTTTAATTAATAAAAAAAAAAAATTTGATTCTTTTATATTATATAATATTTTTTTTTATTTGCAACTTTGAAAAATTGATTTCAAGTAATTCACATTTCTTAATATTTGTGACTCAAAAGGTTCCGTAAACGGAAAAATATGTTGCTTTTTTAATTCAATTTTTTTTTAATTTGATTATTTTTAGTTTTTGTAGAATAACAAAGATAGAAAAAATATATAAAATAAAAAAAATTAAAGGGCTAAAAATTTTCTTGTAAATTATACTCTGAAATAGTATTTTCTCATATTATTATCTTTTAAAACATACTTCAATAATTTTTTTTTTTATTTGCAACTTTGCAAAATTGATTTCAAGTAATTCACATTTCTTAGTATTTGTGACTCAAAAGTTCCCGTAAACTGGAAAACATGTGGTTGTTTTTTCCAGCATATATCATGCTGACTCTTGACTCATAATTAATGAACGTTCAATGTTTTGGCTTTGTTCCTCATTTGGGACTGAAGCAGAGAATACGGCTCTTAATCTCAGTCCTTGATATTTCAGAGAATCTCTTTCCAGGCTTCGGCGCACTGCGTTTCTCCCTGAGGGGACGTCCTGAATGGCTCTCAGAAACACATGTTTTTTCCTCTGTCACATTGGCTTCTTATCTATCACTATATATCATGCTGACTCTTGACTCATAATTAATGAACGTTCAATGTTTTGGCTTTGGCCTCACTTGGGACTGAAGCAGAGAATACGGCTCTTAATCTCAGTCCTTGATATTTCAGAGACTCTCTTTCCAGGCTTCGGTGCACTGCGTTTCTCCCTGAGGGGACGTCCTGAATGGCTCTCAGAAACACATGTTTTTTCCTCTGTCACATTGGCTTCTTATCTATCACGGGCCTGCTGTGAACACCGATTCAGAGCGCTGAATCCTCGGAGGCCCGAGAGATTTATTACCTCATGCTGGTAATTAATAATGATGCATGCGGGCCGCCAGCGCAGCGAGAGTCAGGCGGAAAAACTGCAACTCCAAGCAAAAGAGGCGAGCTTCTCAAACATCTAAACATCTCTGTTCTTCTGTGCATGAACATATGCTTTCATAGAGAACAGCTTGCTCTGAATAAGGCCTGCTTCGTGAATGTGACGTCAGAGACTTTGACGGGAAAATCAACTGCAAGCAAGGATGCAGTTGCTAAGGGGTTCTGAGTGGTTGCTAGGTGGTTTGGTTGAGATTTGCACCTTCATTTGCAGATGTTGTTATATGATCTATATCTTATTTTCTCTCTCTGTATCTGCCCTGAGCTCGTCTCAAACATGAGTGATGGACCTCGAGTCACTTCTGTCAAAGCCTCTGTGAATAAAGCACATGACAGCTGATGAATGTCATGTCTTTCCTCAAATGCCTAAATATACCGAAACAAAAATAAATGGGAATATACTGGAAAATACAATGCAATATATTAAATAATACATTACCCATATATGGGTAACTAGTGCATATATTGTTCAATATACTGCAATAAGTATGTTTATATAAATAAAAAATATATAGCAAATACTGCACTACATTTGTACATGTAATAGCTTTATTGAAACACTCAATAAATGTTTCATTAATTTAATGCATGGGTTTACATTAAGCTGACTTCATTGTTTGCATAGCTACACATTTCATATGTGAAATTATGTACAGTATATAAGAAAAAAAGTGTTTACTCAAAACAAATATTAAAGTTTTTGGTTTTTTGGACAATATATGTTCAGTACATGTATGTTCAAATATATTTAGACACAGAGCCATATTTTATTATATGCATATCTATATATTATGAAGTGTATTATATAAAATTACATACAATACGTTAAGTAAATATATTGTCACATATTTTTCAATATATGAAAAGCTGCAATTCCTTATGTAGTATTATTACAATATATTGTAATATATTAACAGAATATATTATTCCGTATATTATACTTATAAGGAAATATATTTTCTTTGTGTAACGGTATAAGCATCGTGTGCTCCGTCCTCGGTTTTATTTAATTTAATTTAATTTATTGGGTCGTTCTTTGGAAGTAGTGCCATTTTAAAATTTGTAATTTTTCACATTTTATATCTATTGCTCTTCACATATTTTAGAATAACGTGCATTGATGAATTATTCACAATTAGAACTGAAGAATATGTGCTATTTAATAAACAACCAAAAAGTCTAAACAATGTTCTAATAATATTTTATATTATTATAAATCATTTAAAGAATATAAATGAAGGCTGCATCATCAATAATTATCAAAACAGGCTCTTTGTTTAAAAGGTTTTACTTTATAACAATCAAATATCAGTAAACAAAACAATTTTTTTTATTATAATAAAAAAAATCAACAAAACAGAAACAACTGTAAACAATTCAATGGCAATAAACAAAAACAAGCAAAATATAAATAATATTGTAATAATGTTTTATACTATTATGAATATATTTTATATTTTAGTATAAATAAATATATACATTTTATTTTAAATTCTATAAAAATATACATTCATATCAGTTGTAAATGGGCGACATAAATATCATAATCAATAATTTACA